ACCAGTTATGCAATTAATGTGAAATACTTTTAACTTGGAAAGACCTAAGTTTTTTTGGTAGAAAAAAGTTTGGAGACTTTTGGGCCCAAAGTGACAATTTTAAGTGACGCTTATGAGGGCCTCCTGCATGGGTGAAGTGATTACGAAGACTAAAAAGGCTTATGAAAAACATGGAGAATTTCAGTGTAAAGGGCCGAAAGCGACAATTTTGGGGCAATTTTTAGTGACGCTCACGGGGGTTAGGGATGACTCGAAAGGCCTGCTTACGTCTTAAGAAAAAAGGGCATCAATTAACTTAAGTGTTCAGAGAATTTAAGTGTAAAGCGACAATTTTAGGGGGCAATTTTCAGTAATGTGCATAGGGGGTAGTGAATATGAATTTCAAGACTAAAAAGGCCTGTTTAAAAAAAAGGGCATGTAGGCAGTCTCTTTGCAATGAATTCAGGATTGGCCAAAAGACATGTAATTAAAGTAACTGGCTACGATTAACGGCTCCTCACGGAAAAAGGCATGTGGACCCTCAGAGTAGAGTGAACTGGGCATTAAAGAGGGAGAGAAATTTGAGTGTATGTGTGTGGAGTGTAACGTCCTGTGTTAACAAAGAAACCATACTCACACATAGCTTTGCCGATAAAAGTCAGGTTCTGATCCTCCCGTGGCAGTCCAGTCTCCGGGTCTGCATCTTGAAGGCAGAGAAACAAAAGTCAGTGTGTGAAAACAGCTATTGACCTTGCAACAAAAAATGTCACACAACAGGCACGTTTATTACTACATTCAACTGCCGACATAAAAAAATCTGCAGTACAAAAAGCCACGCTGCGAACTATGACCGACCCCACATTCCCGGTTGTACAGCGTCAACCTGGAATGACTCGCTCCTGTGCGTTAATGATCACAGTTCGACAAACGCAAAACATTTTTATCACTTCAGACCACCTCGTGAGGTGGTTCAAAATAAATCGCAACGGAACCGAAATGGAGCGTTCATGTTCCCAAATAATTCGATTTATTTTTTCAATTCAAATCGATTGGCAACAAATTTTAAATCATGAACAGGGCCTCAAACATGTTATAGGTTGTATTGTATATCACCTCGAGTTCTTAACACATCAGAGGACAAAGAAACATGCAAGTTGTAAAGCATCATCTCACCTGTACAAACTCATCACTCTGTCTTCAGGTCAACTGGTCTGGTCTGGTTTGAAGTCTGGACAGTCTTCCAGTTGTCCGTCATCACAGGCTTCCCCCATTCAGAAGAGGAACATCAGGACCCACGTAACAGTACAAAGAATAATTCACATGATGCACACACAAAAAAACATTTCCAGGCAACACTGAATGATTGAAAACAGGTGTTTTTTTACTAAGGACAAGAAATTCAACATATATTTGAACTACATTGTATTCCTTTGCTTGAATTTAGACATAGACATAGACATAGAAATAGATAGTACAGAATTCAGATTTTCTCACCTTATATTTATCTGGTATCTTCAAATCACATTGCACTGGTCCAAACTTCTCTGGTTTAGACAGGAGTCATCACTACTGCATCAGTCAGCAGTCACCTAACTATAAAACATCATAATTTAAGACACTTGCTTCAAATAACACTATGTAAATGGTAGGTAAAATACAGAAATCAGTTTTTCTCACCTTGTATTTATCCTGGGTCTTCAAATCACCAGGTCTGGTCTGGTCAGGTTTAGGCAGGAGTCATCACTACTGCGTCAGTCAGCAGCCACCTAGCTATACAACATCATGAGTTAGACACTTGCTTCAAATTACACCGAGTAAATTTACAAGGTAAAATACAGAATACAGATTTTCTCAGTCACCTTATATTCATCTGGTGTCTTTAAATCACTGGTCCAATCTTCTCTTGTCAGGTTTAGACAGGAGCCATCACTACTGCTTAAGTCAGCAGTCACCTAACTATACAACATTATAAGTTAAGACACTGTCTTGCTTCAAATAACACTATGTAAATGGCAGGGAAAATACAGAATTCAGTTTTTCTCACCTTGTATTTATACGAGGTCTTCAAATCACCAGGTCTGGTCTGGTCCAAACTTCTCTTGTCAGGTTTAGACAGGAGTCATCACTACTGCATCAGTCAGCAGCCACCTAGCTATACATGTACAACATTATAAGTTCAGACACTTGCTTCAAATAACACTATGTAAATGGTAGGTAAAATACAGAATTTAGTTTTTCTCACCTTATATTCAGCTGGTGTCTTTAAATCACTGGTGCAATCTTCTCTTGTCAGGTTCAGACAGTAGTCAGACAGGAGCCATCACTACTGCATCAGTCACCTAACAAAACAACATGATACCTAGGTTACACAGTTGCTTCAAAAATACCAAGAAAAATTTATAGGTAACATACAAAATTTAGATTTTTTCTCACCTTATATTTATTTGGTGTCGTCTTGTTTGGTCCAATCTTCTCAAATCAGGTTTAGCCAGGAGTCATACCTGCATCAGTCAGCAGTCACCTAAAAATAAAGACATACCAAGTTTAATACAAGCACTATGAGTAATGTTAAAAACCTGTATAAATTTCTGACAACAAAAACTGTACCTAGTGAATAGCAACAACAGAATAAAAAATTGAATCACAACTAAAAAAAAAATTCACAACGTAAATATGCCCAATGCAATGCATAATTGTCTGACAATTAGGCAACATTTTTTGTCCGTCATGAGCGGCAAAATTCCACCAATCATGGAAAGCTAAAACTGAAGCTGTATATGCAAAATCCAAATAAAACTCCGTGTACGATGTTTAAAAACTTGTTGCCCACTCTGCCCACCACATACATGTGGATTATCACAGCACGTGCTGCTAAAATTTACCTACTCTCCAAGCAGATGTTTGGGTTATTTTTGGTGTGTTTGTAGACTTTTCTATTGGGGTTTCTTTTTTGCACTGGAATTTTTTTTTCACCCAACCCAACTAAAAGAAAAATTCCAGTACAAAAAAGAAACCCTGATTTTAAAAAAAGGCTAAAAACACGCCAAAAATAACCCCAGACCCTAACCTCTGCTTGGAGAGTACAAATTTCCCGCCAACACCTGGTCGCCGAGATTCATATGATAATTAGTATGATTTCATTTACGTCCAAAATAGAAATGAACAAGCTCGCTTTTCATGATTCGTAATATCTAAATGACACTAAAAGAAGAGATATGATCGACTAGACTTTTTCCACAAATGTGACGTATTCAGACATGTAATACAAGGTTTGGCGAAGAACGTCAAAGGGGTTTCATGCACACTGCACATTCCATCAGGTGTTTTGAACCACGTGGAGAAAAACAAAGTTTTTGCAACGAGTTAAACCTCCTTTTTGTTAGCGCAATTTGTACAAATATGAACTCATAGCGTTCAAAATTGACAAATGAGAATACACATACAAAAAACACACACCACACATGGAAAATATTCAAGAAAACGAGTATTTCAAAGCACGTCACAAATCAAGAAGTCGCTTCGCCGAAGTTACAGAACCAACACCGAAGTTACAAAATGTACTAGTAGCTTGCCAAAGTTGAATACGGTGTTCTTTACTAGTTGCACGAGAATAATGTCAGCCAAAAAAAGTTTGTTGTTTACCTGTAGGGAAAAGCGAAGTCCTCACACAGCCACACCGCTCACGCCCACTATCTCGCCATTTTGCCGCCTTTCTTCTCCAAAATTTACGGGAATTCCGCATTTTCTCCTCAGAACACCACGAGAACGGCGACTAATCAATCGCGAAAACTTCCACCGTTCTACCGCACAGTTTAGAAAACATTCTACCGGCAAAAACATGTAAAAGTGCCCGCAAAGTTACACAAAAGTAACATCCCAGAGCATCCTCGTCGTACCAACGCGCCATTTTGAACGAACCACGCCACACTCTTTTTACACAGGTGTCCAAAACTACCCGATCTAATAAACATAATCTAATTACTTAGACAACTTTTTCCTTCATTAAAAAAACATAATTCCTGTTAATCTTCACAAACGTAATTCCTGTTACTGTACACTGCCTTAATTCAGTCAAGAAGTTTGTCATATCTAACCTTTGTCCAATACCAATTTTCTCTCCTGAAAATATCACATTGCAGTCATTAACGTTAGTCATCTGCACGTGTCAAGGGGGACCTCTAGCGAGCCAAATTATTTTTGCACCTTCAACATGCCGGTCTTCCTGCAATGGTAACTTCAGACGTTTGGCGGCGCCTTTTAAGTTATCGCGGATGGAAATATATTTCGGCCTTGATGTAACTGACACACAGCATGGGCTTGATTGTGTTGAAACAAGCTATAAAAAAACAACAGTTCGTTACTACTCTTCCTGGATCATGGAACCCTGTAAATTAAAATTACGTCATGATAACATAACAATCCCACCATCATTACTTGATAACTGCAATATATACAATACAACAACTACCCAATGTTTACTTAATGACTACAATATATACAACACTACAATATAACAACTACATTATGATCACATATAATTACATAGAAAATACAAGTTGTTTAGTACCAATTATACTACTAATGAACACCAAACCTGTTACTCGGTAAAGGCATTTGGAGGTAGGACAAGTAGGCGACGCAGAAGACCTTCACCATAACCTCTTTGATTTCATTGAACTGTCAGTTTTACAATTAGTCATTTCTAGCGTCTGTCTAAATCGCGCACCTAGCTACTCTCCAAGCAGAGGTTTGTGGGGAACATCTTTCAATCAATCATCCGCAGGCATCAGATCGTTACCTTTCTATTATACTGTAATTCCTTATTTTTTCACTGTACTTTTGTGTTCACTGTTTTCACTGTCACTTCTGTATACCGTGAACTTATAATTACAGCTAACAAATAATTTGTCATTCATCCCCTCACCTCACTGCTATAGTGAACTAGGTGTTCTGTGAACACCTCCACCGTGAAATTTTGTGAACACAAATCGCGTGAATTACAGAAGTATGCCCCTTGGAGAGCCACAATGCACTTGAGAAAACAATACGTTACGTGTCAAGACAATTTTTTCCGAGTCAAGTCTTCAGTTCGAACTCAGACAACACGCGCGCAAGCTGTGCCCACAACAACAGTCCTGACGACATGGCGGAAATCGCGAATGAAGCTCTGCTCCAAGCTGCTGACAAAGGCTGCCTTCAGGGCGTCATGGTAGCTTTGCAAGCAGGTAAGCGTAGCCTCTACAAGGCACCCAAGATTGCAAAATTGTAATCTCCAGGCAGATCCTTGGGTGGCAAAAAGACAGTATCAAATTGACCAGGCAGTGCAGTAGCCTCCTGTGCAGCTAGGCCCCGCGGCGGTGGGGAAGAGTTTTTAACGCGCTATTTTAATATAGCCGGCCATCCTACATAGCCGCCGAGAGAAGGTTGCTTTCCGCCCACGGGAAAGCAACCTTCTCTCGGCGGCTATGTCCGGGATGGCCGGCTATATTAAAATAACGCGTTAAAAACTCTTCCCCACCGCCGCGGGGCCTAGCTGCACAGGAGGCTAGCAGTGCAGTATCAAGGTGGGGGTAGTGACAAAAAAACTGGCCATGTATAAAATGTAACTATCTTTCCCCACCAAACTCAGCTGGTTGGAGGGTAGAAAAATTGTACTCCTCTGACATACTCTTTAGTCTATTTCTCAGTGGGGGCAATGGAAGTTGTGCAGACAATTCACGTACCAGCTCAGACTAGCACGGCTACTGAGGGTTACAAGCATTATTAAAGCCGGGTTGATATTACCCGAAATCTCATTCACAAATACCTTTTTGAAAGGTATAGAATATAGAATGGTTAAAATACTACGATCAATATTTGTTTCCATATGTACAATTGTCGTGCAATCAATGGTTGGGAAACTTGAAAACTGATCGTTGCTTTTTAACTATGCAAAGTTGTGAGGATATGATATTTTCTCTCAGATTTAGGCGTAACACACCAGTTCTGTACAGTATCTTATCTCCAAGCAGATCCTACGGTGGCTAGGCAGTATCCTTTGGCCCGGAATGATCACTCCTCTACCGCATTGGATACTGCCTTGCTACCGTAGGATCTGCTTGGGGATTAGAGTAAGTACATTCACGCCGGGAAGGGCCCCTTTGGTTTCGAGGTGGCCCTCCTCCATCAAGGGGCCTCTTTACGTCCTATCCTGACCGAAGCTCTCTGAAATCTCTCTCATGTGTATTCAGTTTTACTAAACTATCCACCAAACGCAGGTGCAGACATTGACTACACTCAGGGCGGCAAGGAAATCACCGGCAATGCAACAGCTCTGTTCATCGCTTGCTTCATGGGGCATGTCGATGTAGCGAGGCTGCTGATCCGCAAGGGGGCGTCTTTAACGAAGAGGTCCATTGGGACATCAGCTCCTCCCCTTCTCATAGCAGCGTCCAGAGGTAGGCCGGCGATTAAAAAAATAGAGTTCGACGACTCATACCTTTGCCAAATGATGTTAACCAGTATCGAATCGATTTGTTTGTTTGTTTGTTTGGCATAGCCGGTAAACCGCCTTTTAGGCAGAACACACCAGTTTCAGTGTGCATGTATTAATACATGTATTAAATATAAAGTACAAGTTGCGTAAGACCAGACAGTAAGGTTTGAATCGCTCACACCGGGAGGACCCCTACTCTTTTCGATAAGTGCGGTGGGTTCTTTAACATGCGTGGGATGTGGCTCTCCCAAACACGAGACTTCTATTTAACGTCCTATCGGAGGGACGTCCCTAACCGAAGCTAGATACATGAAATAGAATTATCTACATGTATACACCTATTGAATTGCGAAAGTCGACGACCAACGTTGCTTGATGTATATTTCTCACGCCGCAAATCCAGGGCATATAAAAGTAGTGGACTTGCTGGTACATCACGGTGCAACGTTAGACATACGGGACGGTTTCCAGAGGACCCCACTCATGATGGCCTGTGCTTTCAAACGAGTGGACGTAGTTCGGCGACTGATCGAGCTCGGAGCAAGAGTTGATTTGACCGACGTCAATTGCTTGGCGGCCCAAGAGTAAGTGAGAATGAACGTCTGTTACTTCCGTATACTAAAGTATTGTTATAGGTGGCTAAGGCGTAGCCTCTACCAGGCTTCGGGAGGCGACTGGAAAGAGTAGAAATTGGCCAAATAGATAGATAACACGCCGGGGAGTTGGTCCGCTAGAGAGTACAGTACAGTTTGTCGCAACCGGTACTCTCCAGCGAACCAACTCCACTGGCATGTTATCTCCCCATTTTCCAATTTCTACTCTTTCCAGCCGGCTCTAGAGAGTAGTAAAGGCTAGTTGAGCTGTGGGTTTGTGTATTTGTCATGTCAGAGTAGGTTGACAGCACGTGGGGTGGGTGGGGAAAGATTGACAGGTGAGGTGGCCAAAGGTCTCGTGCAGAATACGATCCCAGTTGGAACTAGAGACAGAAGATGGGGTAGGTATACATGAAAGTAGGCTGGCAGCACACGGGTATGGGGGGATAGGCACAATGACAATGTCAAAAGGTCAGACATGGGAAATGGGGTGAACTCGCCACACAAAATCGAAAATGTGGTGGATTTTTAGAATCTCTGACTTGTTGTGCAAACCTCAATTCAGACTTGCAATGTTTTTCTCTTATTCGATATCAAAACCAATACTTCTGCTACTACTGAACTAGGTACTGCGAGATGGACGTAGTCGGAGGCGTCTGCGCACCCAGAGAACTGATGGAACTGATACAAGAGGCACTGCAGACCGGGCTGTTGAAATGCTGCAACCCTACGTGCGGCAAACGGGGCCACAGGTAGGTTTCGTTACACTTATGAAGCATGTGGCAGGCATAAGCAAGTGGTAGAACAGACAGGCTGTACACAATTTGAGTAAGAATAAACAGGGCAATAGTCTGTTAGGCTAGACAGTGTGGAGGTAAACATCATGCAGTTTCAAATGGCACCTTGTCCATCTGAATTTCTCTGTATATGTAGCCCACAATCAAGTACAAAATGCAGTTGAAAAACTTTCCGGAATTCTTTTCTGTAGTCCTAAACAGCTTGCGTTACGCTCTTTTCTACAGATCAACCTTGAAGCTGTGTGCTCAGTGCAAGCTGACCCGGTACTGCAGCCGAGACTGTCAGAGACAACACTGGTCTGTCGGACACAAGAAGTGCTGTGGATATGACGCGTACTCTGACTATGGAAACCCCTTACAAAAATTCGCCAAGTTGAAGACTCAAATGTTGCAACATATGAAAATATAGCTTAGGACAAGTGTAACTTAAGCGTAAATACAGACTTTTTGCATATTCAACCTTGCTATGAAATGCCCAAACATCGCTGAAATATCGGTAACAGATAACACGCTACCTTGAATTTTTTTTCATCAAACAACAATGAATGCTGTTTAGGAGAATCGTAGCCTGGTTTACCAAACCTATTATAGCTCCCGAGTCCTACATCCTCTCCGCAAATATTGGATGTAGGACTCGGGAGCTATAATAGGTTTGGTAACCAGGCTAGGAGAATCGTGCTTGGACACGGTTTGAAAGGAACGTGTGACACCTGGACCAGAATGCGATTTACCCGACTGATCGCGGTTCAAGCGTTTCCTTGTGAACTCTCGGGAACGTAAAGGGGCGCCCTCCAGCGGCCGTTCTACTAAGTGTAGGATTAAACCCAGGGAATGGTCCCCGTGTTCTGTGTTTTTGCTTCATTTCAGTGCAATAAGTTCACTCAAAATAATAACGAGAATATAGAGGACAATGTTCACTGGTACTCACCACCTAAAACGGACGTAGCGGGTCTTCCAAGGCGAATTTTAACCGCCGAGTTCTTCCCCGTCCAAACACACTCGCCCATGATCTTCCAAAGGCGTGGTCCTACCACCTGATAATGAATCATCAGGATTTGCATTTTTCTTAATTATTATAATTACGTAAATAATTAGATTAGACGTAACGCAATGTAAAATCACCATACCGTGAGGAAAAATGACCCTGATTTTGTTATAATTTGCGTTACAACTTATTGTTCTTTTACTTTTATCATTAAGAGGTATTTCTTTCATCTCATTAAAGCAAAGTATGTGAAACTACCTGCCTGCTTGCTATTATTTTACAATGGTTTTAACTAGTGCTGTGTACCTAAACCCACATTTAGGTTCAGGTCCGGATTCAAGTCCAGAGGTTTAGGTTCAGTTCCGGACTTGTAAGTCCGGACCTAAACCCATGGCCTACAAAATTGCATGTTGACAACCATGCAAAGTTGTTTGGGCAAAACTTTGTTCACATAACATGGAGGCCGACACGTGACAATGCCCGATGGCAATGTTTTCTTAATTTTGCAGTGCATATTTTGCAATCTATGGAAGTTTTTAGGTCATGTGGAAAGAAAAGGGGTATGTGACATGTTTTTTTTTCAATAAGTCCGGAATCGGTTCTTGACTTTTAGTTGTTTTTTTACTTGAACCTAAACATTTTTACAAGTCCGGAACCGATCCAGCAAACAGGTACACAGCACTAGTTTTAACAAGTGTAACTTTACTTACACAATACGCTGTGCTGCACTTGCGCCCATTTGTCAACTTTCAAATTTGAAAATTGCACACAAAGTGATGCCCCTGAAAACCTAATGTGCCAGTATAGCTTCAAAATAAGTATATTCATACAGATTTCTAAAACTTCGCCAGGAAGTTGGCTTTTTCCTCACGATTTCTTCTGCACATGGATTGTGCAAATCATTTCCCGCCTCGCTGACCAAAAGTTTAATTTGTGTGCGTGCGACTGCGGATCAAGAAAGCCTGGTCTGGTTCCTTCCCAATGTGGTTGCTTCCCGTGGTTTTGCTGACGTCAGTTACCGCCAGGGATGTTGACGGAAGCACCTTTTAGCTTGTTTATGTTGTCGTTTTTCCAGGGAAGGCTCTCTGGCAGGATATCAAGGACCACTAAGTGGGCGGGTCCATCTAGAAATGTTAGGAGATTTTGAGCTATTTAAATCATTTCTCACGATTTTCAAAGATGTGTTTGTGGCTTGTTTGCACCAACTTCATAGGAAACTGCACGTTTTTTTCACCGAATATTTTTAGATCCGCCCTGGGTGGAACGCAATGTTATGATCAGGCAAATAAAAATCATAGGACTCGAATTGTTGCAAAAGTTTTAAAGGCGTGGAAACATATGACGACAACAGGTTACCTGTTTGAAAGATGTATTAATTTCTGATTAAGTAGAAAGTACCTATTTAGTGTTCAAGATAGTCATGTTGAATTTCAATGCCTTCGATGTGCTTTATTTTAGATTTTCTATAAATTTTTGGGACGTAATTTTTTCTGTGGTCACACCCACCGTTTGATTGGACTCGCCTGGAATGAACCACGTGACATCACGCCGTGGATCCAATATGGCGGTGGCAGTGCCTGGGGTGACAGTGTACGGCTCCGATCCCAACCTCCAGGGCCACCAGGACGAAGAAATCATGGACGAGGTGAGCCCCTTTCTCCCCTAGGGACGCTAAGAAGCCTTTTGAACAGAAATATCGTACATCGAGGGCTGGTTTACTCGTACGGAGGCCAGCTGTCATCGGAGGTTGTTGTGTCCCCTTGTTACTGTTCCAAATCCAAGCCATGGTAAAATAAAAACGAGTTTTCATAATTTTCGTGTTGGACGTCTAACCCGGAATAACAAAATCTATTTGTCTGCTGTTTTTTGTTGTAATCTTGACGATAACACTGATCAACACTTGATAGGACTGTCTTTTACATACAGATTTCATTTCTACTGATTGTAAATGGTGAGATTTTTCTGTACTATCTTGTCTCCAATATATATCTAACGTTACCGCCTTCATGTCAAAAGTCATTCCTTCAAAAGCTAGTACTAGTAGTAGTTACCACAAGAAAAGCTCAATCAGACTTTAGAGCAGTGATCAGCAAGAAAGAGCTTCTGTTCTTATCCTCCAATCGAGGGAGAGAGAGACGTGAGGAAATTTTTTTGTAAATATGTGATTGTGACATCAAGTCAGACAGTTAGTTACAACATAGCCCCAGTCTGTTGCAAGGTCTATGTGGCTAAGCCGCTTTGGAACATATTACAAAATTAGAAACTAAAACAATTTTTTTTCTTTCTAATACGTTATGCCCTCTCGTTGCCTTTTGTACAACCCTCTATGGCAAATGGTATATAAACAACTTACCTGTACATGTCATAAAATTCTGATAGAAACAGAAGTGCAACTAGAAAAACAGGTGTAAGATCCGCTTGTTTTACCTGATCCCAGATTTGGCACATTCTTGCAATGATAAAATGACTACTAGTACTCTGGGTATGAAACGTCATGATTGGGATGAATAGTTTGCACTAGGTGAAGCTAGTATAGTACAAGTGTATGGAACATGAATGACAGCAAAGGTCCAAGTTGGCCAGTCTGAACTTGCTGGTATATTTCTTCTGTTAAGATTTCTTCAAACAAATCAAAGTGCCTCAATGTCAATGTTAACATACATACATACATACATACATACATACGAAGCAATGTACATTGTGCAGAGTACTAAAAAAATAACTCACACAAACAGGAGAAAGTGATTTTCTCAAAAGTGCTATCCCAAAAAAGTTGGAAACTTGACAAGTGAGTGACTTGAAAATTTAAGATTTAGGAAGCAAGAATAACAATGCAACAATGGGTGGAGGAATAAAACTGTTATGCAACTGCAAAGTTGCGCTAGATATACATACTGTTCAAATTCTGACAAACAGTTTATAACAGCATACGGATGTCATGTAAGTCTGAATATTCATATGTAAACTAACATAAGAATACATAACATAAACATGACAGTAGTTGTATCGTGTATCAAGAGTTATCAGTCGCAGAAAAGGGCCAACCCACCTTCTTGAGTTATCGTCTACACAGACACAGACACACACACACACACACACACACACACACACACACACACACACACACACACACAACACACACACGAACACTACAAAAAACATAACCTTGTTGGCCAGGGTAATACATTTCATATGCAAAGTACAGTCTTCAGGCAAACTCACATATACATGTACTAGTACAATACTGGTTCAAATATCGTTCAGTTCATTCTTATGGTTAGAACCAGTAAACGAAGTAAAGCTGCTTAATGTTATAAATAAAGCATATCTTGTATACATGTTTAGGTGCAATGTTACTATGAACATGAGCCTTATTGTCAAGTTTTAAATTCTCCACTTTTTATGAAACCTCTAACGATGTTAACCAGCTTTTTAATGGACGGGAAAAACATTTCTCAATTTACTTGTGATTGGCATGACAGTTTGGATGCCTTCAGTGTACAGTTATTCCACACATGCTAAGTTCACCCTTAGGTCATGGGATTTACAAATAGCTTGCCACAAATAGCCAGCAGTTTATTTTGAGGCTTCAAGGGTGCAGAAATAGTCCTACAAAAACAGTCCATGCCTGTTATAGCTCTTGTTACAGAAGAATGATTATATTATTCCTAAATCGTAATTGGCAAGATGTATGTGTACAGTGCCCTATCTGGTGCTTTGGGTGTGTAAGTAATGTAGAGGTGGAGAGAGGGTGGGAGGGGGGCAACTGCTGTCTCAAAACATTATATTTACTTGTATGTGTCACCCAACTGTGAGTCAGCATGAGTAACTAGAGACTCCGGGGTACTTGAGTGAGTGGGCAAGCTTTGCCAAGTCACTGACTAAAAATCCTACAAAAGTACAAGACAAGACTTTCCCTCATAATCCACTTTAGACAATAGGCTTTAATGAATTCTGAAGTTGTTCCCATCAGAATATGTTGCCTCGTAGGTGGCAGTTCTAGTAGATTTGTTTTCCTTTGTTCAGCGTTTATGTGGTTTGGTTTATGTACAGGAACTATTTGTTTATTTGTCCCACAGTCTGGGTATGGAAAGTGTGGCAGGTCAGAAGTGTTATTCCTGCAAACGGTACAAAGAGAAATGCAATACATTTGTATTTTCATGTGAAGAGTAATTGACCATATCTGATACTTGTCATATTGTATGGACATTCCTTGTACTAGTGGTAGACTCTACCAGGCTTTAGGAAGCGGCTGAAAAGAGAAGAAATTGAAGAAATTGGCCAAATATAATAGACAGAATATGCCAGGGAGTGGATACGTGCCAAGTTAGATAGTAGTAACAGTTTTCGCAAACCAATTTCTTCTCTTTTCAGCCGCTAATCCCAAAGCCTGGTAGAGGCTACATTCCTGGGTGAAATGAGTTTATTGTTAGAAGACCACCTATAGGTGTGATACCATATCTTTTGGACAATACCATTTTCATAGACCCTAGGTTTCATTTACATACATGTGTGCTAAATACCTTTTACATTTTGTAGCATGCAGATCAATCTACTGAATCACCTCGCTGCATTTTACACATTGCTGTGCATTTTACATATACATGTATATGAACCTAGGTATGCAAAATTTGTATGGACATTGTTGGAGAGTGCTACCTACCGTAGCTGGCTCATTTACATATGTGCTGTACGTATCTCGGAGTGACCTTGCCCTTTTTGACATCAGTAGAGGTTCTCTCACGGATTTACAAATGTGACGTGTTATGCAAAACAGGACATGACAACATCGGGTCAGAGTTGTCTGTCGGGTTTCCCCAAATGATTTTTTTATGCTCCTTCAGAACTGTCGTTATACAAAGATTAGTCCTGAACTACAGATTGTAAATTTCATATAGCCTTCCTAAACTAAATATTTAAAATCTTACCTGTTCGTTTTTAGTTTTTAGAAGAAAAGAGGATAAAATGGTTGAACTAGCTGACATCTGGTAAAGAATTGTTTCATTCGTACATGTATGTGTTGTCATTTCATGCAATACATAAGAAAATGTCTGTGTAGACTTTAATTACGAAAAGACCCATGCAACCCAGTGCCATGTTCTATATATAGGACCATGCTTGTTTTCTTACAATACAGTACAATAAGAACATGTCGGGATGTACTGTCAAATTGTTTTTCTTTATGTCAGTCTCATTTCAAACTTTTAAAGGCCTGTGTAAAAAACTAAAGATATACCAGTAGAGGAAGGGAGAAGGCTATGGGAGATCTTGACCCTTTCAACTATTTTTAAAGCATTCAATGTGCCAAACTGGATTTTTCAAGTCAATTTCTGATCATGCTTTTAATGTAGTAACTGTAAATTGAATCAACCCTTTATCCATTACTGATATCTTTGTGAGGCAAAACGCACTGAAAGAAACAGTAGCTTGTTTTGTATCATAGGCAGGTTCTAGCTTTTTATGGGTGGTACCCAAATAATAAAGAGATGCATCACCTGGTTTGTTTTTTTTATTTCAACCGCTTCAAGTATGAAATGATAACGAAAATGTACTAAGAAATGTCAGTAAATCTCAATATCAGACAGATTTCCTCATCAGAATATTTCTTTGGCTTGCAGTCCTGAAATTACATTGGATGCCTTTAAATGAGATGTTCATCATTTTGTGCACTCCATAGTAACCAAACAAACACTGCTCATCCTCCACATGCAGGGCAACCTTTACCTTAACCTTGGCTGTACATTAGCTCCTCTATTGTCTCATTTGATCAATTTTGTGATCACTACAGATACCTGTCAGATGTAAAACAACCACGTCCCATGGTACGTAATAAACAACCAATCAGATAACTCGTTTCAACTCAGGTAGCCAGAAGCACGGGATAAGAAGTGTTTTCAGGTACAAAGGAGGGTGGGGGGTATTTGTTTGTTACTGTTTTGTGTCATATTCTTTTTCATAAAACAACTTTCGATCATTTGAACATTAGTGTTGTCTTTGCCACCCAATTTAACTGTCTGCTTGTGACATCAACAGCAAGAGGTTTCGGGAAGTGAAGTTGAAGGTCTTTTATACCCTGGCACTAAAATAAGAAAGTCTAGGACACAGTAGCTCTTGGTTACAGCCTTTAAAATCAGCTTTCGAGCATGTTGGAGGAGTGCTTGCGATTTTGCCCAATTTAACTGTCTGCTTCAGCTTGTGAGAAATCGACGGCACAAGGTTATGGGAAGCAAAGTTGAAAGTTCTTTTATACCCCGGTGGTACAAGAAAGTCTGGGGAACTGTAAGCTCTTGGTTACCGCCTGATTAAATCAACTTTTAACAATATGCTTTGGGAGTGTGCTTACGATTTTGTCCAATTTAACTGTCTGCTTGTGAGAGATAGAGAGCAGGAGGTTACGAGAAGTAAAGTTGAATGTTCTTTTCTACCCTGTCACAGTCTTGGGAACAGTAGCTGAGGCCTAGGAAAAAAAAATGTTGTGTTTCCTGTTTCCTGACAGGCCTTAGAAAAAACTGCCGACCCTAGCCTTTTTTTTGTGTGGACAAGGGACATGCATTTTTCAAGCTGATGGACCTTTTCTAGCTCCATGATCTGATACTTGAGTGATGAAACATTATATATACAATTGGTTTTCCAACATTGACATTGAAAAGGAAACTGTCCTCATTCTCAAGTTTTACTTTCAATTTTGTTAAACTGTATGAAGTTGGATCACTAGAGATCGCCAAGGTCTAAAAAAAAGAAAGAAAAATAAAAGATAAACCTACTGACTAATTTTTTTCAGGACTGAAATGGGAAACACAACAATTATTTTCCTAGGCCTCAGACAGAGTGACCCATGTAAACGTGTGTCCATTGTTCCCTCCCGCCGGCCTGTCTCCCTGACCGGTGGGAAGCCTCACAAATCCTCCTCAGGAGTTTTTGTGGGGGGTTCGGAATTTGGCAGCGGAGGCTGGAGGCTTCTTGGTGGTCCGAGGACTGAATAGATGACCGCCTGTCATGATTTCTAAGGACGCTAGGTCGTCAAAGTTGCAGTAGTAGTAGTTTCTTTGCAATGGGGGCTTGTGAAAGGCTGGTTATACTTAGGGCTTGAAATGCTTTTTTTTTCTGCATACCACCAGCATTGGTGCAGGTAACACTGAAAATTATACCTGCACCAGACAAATTTTATTTGCACCAGTTTAGTATGGATCATATTAAAAACTGTTTTAATCAGAGCACTTGTTATTGCATTGATAGATGTAATAACTAGGAAGATAAGGATTTTCTTCAACTGTTGGGGCCGAAAATCAGAGCATATTTGAGAACCTGAATTAATTTTGCAAATCGGAAAGCGAATCTGAGAACCTTTGAATTAAAGGTTTTCAAACCAACTTCTAACCTCCCTTACCTCCTACCACCCCACTACCAAAAGAAATCCTTGCCACCCCAAAACTGTTTTGGAAAACTTTCTTCTCAAAAAATTTTGGAAGGCTAACTTGGCAAAACTGTTTTAGATGATCTTCCTTTTTTTTTCAAAAAAAGTTTGTACTTTTGGAAGGCTAACATGGCAAACCGTGACTGATACAAACATGTTGATATAGATTGATTTAGACAAGATTTAGAGAGGCCTTTTGTTATGGGGGAGGAATTCCTGGGAAAATGGCCCAAACCTGGTCCCTCGCCCACTGGCATTGTGGGTACTGAATAGGGGCGGACGTTGAGATAGATTCCCAGTGTCATGGGAACATGTCCTGGCCTGTCTTTCCATGGGATGATCCTGTCCTATAGTATGTGGTTGAGGTTCTCAGCTGTCTGGAAAATTATGGTGTCTTTTGTTGCACAGTTCACTCTATCAGTGTATCTCTTTGCAGGGCTCAACATACTTTTCTTTGCATACATGCACTGGTGCAGGTAATATTCAAATAATACTGTCTGATGTATTGAAATGATTGAAAACATTCTTCTTTATGTATGTGGAAAGAAGTACATAATTTATGTGTATTAACCTTTTTAATGCCCTTGAATAAGACAATGAGACAATGGGATTTAAAAATGCCCAAAGACTTTTTTTACGAGCCAAACAGGTGATGTTGTATGTTGTGTCTGTTTACAGGTTCAGAATGTACGGAAGGTCATTAACCTAACCCGGCAGAACCTGGAGGCTCTCAACGCTCGCTTCGCAGACCTCCAGAAACCACCGTCGATCTACATAGAGGTCAGAGTCCTACACTTTCTGTAGCCATTGTTTTACATACAATAGTCTATTTTCCACAAGGCAGGGACTGTTTTAATAAAAGCAAAACATTTTTTTTGCTCCGTTTCCTCTCCTTCTCAAGACAAATGACAATGACCTGGACCAGACATCTCTCACCATGGTAACTGATGCTGTAGCAGACACCCTGTGGTGTTGGATTTTGTTATATAGCAAGTGGCAGGACAAAGTTGGACTCTTGCCACCATATATATGAATGTGTCTGAGTAACAATAAACAGAGAAGTAGTTTGTTAAGACCATATGCGATGATGAACTTACTATGCATTTGCTTTGCAAATGTTACCTTTCTATAAAATGGATCGGGTAACTCGGGCCAGTCTTTATGTTTGCTGACAAAAACACTCTCCTTTAAAGTCACAAGCCAGGATTCATAATCTGATTGTCAACAAAATTCAAGTGGGAAATTTTGCACATTTAAACACTACAAGAGCACAGAAATGAAAGATGCCCAAAGACCTGTTTGTTTGGTACTCATACAATGTAATATTCCTCATGGCCTGTGTATATTGGTAATTAGTTGGTACTTCACAAACTTTGGTTTGATCTCAAGGTGTTCTTTATGTATTCTCATGCATTCATATGTTCTGTTATAGCAGTTCGCCTCTTTCAAAGTAATTTGAGACTTTTGTAAACAGTTCAGATTTTGCTACTCTCAGGCTGCCTTTTGTAACTAAAATTTTTGCTTGCAATGTGAAGTATTTTACGAAGTATCATGTGTTATTGGAAACTTTGAGATAATTGGCCTTAAAAATCTACCAATCAAAATTTTCAAAAGTTGGTTTCATGTAGCTGTATGAAGCTCATGAAGTTGAGTAACTGTTGATTTACATTGTACAATGCATAGTATAAAGTGCTTAGTATGGTACAGATCTCAAATAACTTTGTAGATACACGTGTTGCAAATTGGGATCAAAAGTGGGCAAGACGAGATTAAAAGCAGGGCACTTCTCTGTGCCTAAGCAGTGCAATTCCCATTTAAATTGTGTAAATTCCTTGGTTAAAATGGAAGATGAAATTCCTTGGTTAAAACGTGTGCAGATGAAATTCCCTGGTTAAATGAGCGCAGATGTTTGTGTAATTGCGTGTGGTTATGCATGTGTTATACATAGCCACTTGCTAGTTAGTGCACATGGTTTATGCAGCTTTTGCACTAGTTTCAACCACGCTTATATGCAGCTTTCAATTGTGATTTAATATTAAATGCTATTTGCACAACTTTTGCAAGTTAAAAATGTGTGTAAAACGCGTGGAAAGAGAATTGAATCCTTGTCTTGTGGGGCCCATATATACATGTACATGTACATGTATGTGGGTTGCCCATACAGCACCATCTACAAATGTATATACATTGTATGTAGTATATTTCTCATGCAACGCATCACACCTCAGACAAACACAATGAATGCGGAAGTAACTACACCTCCACAGGGCAAAAACAGTCAAGGGTTTATGACCTGATTAAGACATCAAATTATTTGAAAATATTGAGTAAGAAATGCCAGCAGGACAAGGGTTAATAGAGACCTGTACTGTACATACACTGGTGATTAGACCATTCATGACTTGTATCTGTTCTCCTTCAGGAATATGAGGAACTGACCAGTAAGTTGGATGAGCTTCAGGCACGCGAGCAAGAACTCTTGGACCGTATGAGTAATGGTCGCGACTCCCCCCCTCACGAGGAGCCCCCTGAGCCACCCCCTCTCCCCCCGCCTCCCCAGACCCCCTCCAGAACCAGCCCCCAGTCCCCCAAGCTGCTGCAGGCAACTGTGTTTGCCCACCTGCCAAATCACCAAAGAACAAGGGTAAGAAACATCACTATCATATACTTTACTTTATGTCTATATTTGGGGCAATAAAATATGATTATGTCATCCATGTGGTCCATAAAATCATATTCATAACCCTTTTGTACCCAGGTATCAATATTCAGTACTACTACAGTTCTTTCTAAATTTCTTTGTGACGAAACGATGGAAAGTTAAAATGCCAAATTAGCCAGTGAGGAAACCTTAAGAGTTTCGGCTGTGTCTACAGGTACAGTGCAAGTCTGGGATAACGTTACGAGAGGCTCTGTCCAAAGCCATGAGAATGCGGGGCCTGAGCGCAGAAACCTGCAGAGTCTTCAGAATCAGTCCAAGGTAAATAAGATCTCCTCCCTCTAATATGTTGACTTATTGAACATTTACGATGTATGAACATTTACCACAATTGTGGAAGCCATGACATAACAGGTGACTATCACATCTTCAAAAATGTCAAACCTTGAGGCCAGGTTTGAACCATTCACCCCTGCTCTTTTCGATAAGCACAGTGGGATCTTTAACGTGCTCAAGTTGTGGTTCTCCTCAAACACAGGACCTCCAGCTTTACATCCTATCTAAGAACAAGTCCCTAACTGAAGTTAGGTACTCACACCTGAGTTAAGTAAGGAAATAGGTGTAAAGTGTCTTTCCCAAGGACACAACAATGGCCTGACAGGGATTCGAACCCAGAACCGTCGGATTCTGAGGCAACAACCCTTACTACAAGACCTGTTGACATTTATTTTACTAATGGAACTTTAATGTCAACATCTCCTTTGGTGAAATTTTAACAATTCCAAGTATGGTGACAGTGTTATAAGTCAGATATTTAGAGCCATGACATTTTCCCAGTTATTATGTGTTTGGATGTTAAAGCTATTTTCCCCTAATGTTGACTTATTGTTCTAATGAAACTTTAATGTCAAAAATCTCCAATTTTAGTCTGGATTTAACAATACCAAGTATAGAGACAGTATTAAGAGTAAGTCATTTAGGGCCATGACATTTTGCCGGTTATTATGTATTTGGGTGTATAAAGCTATTTTTAAAGGTTTTAAAGCTATTTCAGGTACTCAGGGGGAAAGGTAATAATGTGAGAGTTCCAAATTTGGGCAAAAAAACAGACGCTAGAAGCTCTGGTTGGTTCTTGGGATTGACTGCGGACTAGTTTTGCAGACGGCCAAAAGATTGCAAGACACGAAGTAAAAGGCCAAGGTTTGCATATGCACATTTGTGTGGCAGTTATGAAATGCTGTCTTTGAGTGATGATATTTTTGCTTGTGACCAGGGTGATGGTTGAATGGGACACAGACATGTCTTGGCTAGAAGGAGAAGAGATCTCGGTAGAAATCCAAGAAGACCTCCCCATCACATCCAGTATATCCCACAACTTTGTAAGTATATTTCTGTAGCTTAGAGAATTCCTAATGCTTTCAAACAGAGAGGTTGTGACATTTAGTTTGAGTCTTTGCTCTCATATTTCAATAACAAGCCTGTAGTGTGAAAACCACCATTACATAACATTTGGTTTTCGGTCTGTGTTTTTAGTTAAAGCTGTTTATCGGTAAGTGCTAGCCGTTTTGAGGAAACTAATATATCTGGTCAGCGCTGGAAATACCACCAGCATATGCAGGTTAGTGCAGGTAAAATTCCAGCTGTGCAGGTGCTTCTGATGTCTACCTGCATCTAACCTGCACTGGGCCGTGTACTGGGTTTATACATACATGTAGATGTATGTGGATTTGCTATTGACTGTTACCACCCTATGAAGTCTCTAATTCTGCACGTACATTCTGTACATGTACCCTAAGTGGCTACATTTTTTAAGAAATGGGATTTTTTTTTAGAAATGCCTTCTCAAGAATATCTTGAACCCATAGATGTATGAAGTGTGCATACCTTTTTTAGAGATTTTTAGAGATGTGCATTATATTCAGAAGATCTCTTTAAAAGCATCCAACACAATTTTAGGGTGGCAAAACAAAAAATATCCTGGATGGAGAATTCTGTCTGATATTGACATTTACTGCACATCATTTTGTACTTGAAGCATTTGAAATAGCCCCAAAAACAAGCCATGTGAGAAGTCCCATTATTTTTTGATACCACCAATAAGCAGCTAGAATCAGCCTATGATGCAAAACAAACAATGGCTTTCTGCCAGCAACTTCACATTTTGCATCATATATACCATTATGGTATGGGATAGGGCTGATTCATCTTACTACAGTAAAAAAATGACAATTTTACTTTGAAAATTCTTCTTGAAAATTTTTCTGTCCAGAAATCACTTAGAGTGCCTTTAACTTCACTGTTTTTTTTTCAATGCTGCAGTCTAATCCTACTCTGCTGAATTACGAGAGTTGGCTGACTTACAGCATCTTGCTGAATTTCCTTACCGTAGGTCCGTAAGACGTTTTTCACGCTGGCGTTCTGCGACAGCTGTAAGAAGCTGCTGTTCCACGGGTTCCGCTGCCAGACGTGCGGTTACAAGTTCCACCAGCGCTGCACCTCCGACGTGCCCGTCATGTGTGAACAAGTGGGAGGGGATCACCTTTACAAACAGTGAGTTCTTACACCACTTCTTTTCATTCTTGAAAAAAAAAGAAGAGAAACAGTTAGTCTTCGACCACTTCTTTTCATTCTTGCCACTGGTAACCTACTGTGGTTAAGACTTCGAAATGGCCATCCCTTATGACTATTGTCCAGAAATACATGTAGCCAAAATGACAATTTTCAGATTTGGGAGTAGGAGACAAAAATGACTTATAATATTGTATAATTTATGTGTGACTGGCACATGCTGAATTTTTTTATGAAGCCTGTACTACAATAATATACTGTTAGGTTATTTTGCCTTGAAATTGTAAGGCCGTAGTTAAGGTTTGTTGCTGGCCTGTATGTGGAGGATGCTTTTGCAACGAGGATTTTCCATCCTCCGCTGATCTTTTGTTCCCTGCTTTGTTCTATTTTTTTTCTTACGCATGTGTGGCGCTACTGCGGCACTCCACAGAAAGGGGCACATCCAAAGGTATTACTGGTAGAGAGTAGGCGATGCCAATCAAACCAATCATTAGACAAGTTCTCTAGCTCCTGATTCGTGTTGCGCTGATTCACCACACTGCATGGCAAACTGTCTTTCCTCTGATACAAACTTACACCTAAAAAAAAGGCACCAAATAGTCAAGTTTCAATATAACTTGTCTCCTATATCTACAATAAGATTCAAATAAAGCTCTGAAAATAATATAAATGAACCTGTGTATACCTTATTTTCATAACAGGAGGATCATTGAATTTCAAAGAACTTTGGGCATGTCGTTCATCCCTATTAACTGTATTTAAAAGATCATACAAAAACTACGTTGTACATGTACACCGTGCCCTCTGGCAGAATATGTAGAAACTGGAGTGTGG